CCAAGTGATACACTAGACTTGAAACATTCCTGTTCGGTTGGTTCTTATGTGCATGGAGAAGGTTGGTGGTTGTGAGCAGGATGACGTCCCAAATTTCCTCAGCAATGGAGGTACACCTTGACGTGGTGCTGGGGCTTTTGCTAAGATGCCTCCCACAGAATCAAGAAGATAACAAAGATAACACTGTTAAGCTGTGGTCTACTACAAAGGAGGGGATGGTCTTGCAAGTATTGGACTGCTAAGGTATTCCCAACACTCGTTGATGACCTAATTTGCACAATTAATGTAAAAATTATGTGACTCCTTATTGGTGAATGATGGGAATTTTTAACTGTGTAAGTGACATGTGTAAGTTACTTATAACATCACTATGCATATATTATGTTAATGAAGAAATGATTTGCATAATTAATGAGGACATGCTGAAATGAAGTATGGCAAAGGAAAGCGTCGGTAAAGGAGAGCGTCTTATGTACGATACGTACGGGACACGCGCGTCGCCCGTACTCGCACGTACGGGTGGTGAATCCGCAGACCGCACGCAGAAAAAGTTTCACATGCACTTAAAGTTCTACGGCGTGTCTGCGTGCTCCCAAATCCGTAGGATTCCGTACGGAGGCGGTACTCACCACTTACGGATCCCCTACGTTTGCCCACGTTTTTTTTGCACGTAGACAGCACGCAGAAGCACGTACGGTGGGTTGTGACCGTAGCTTTACGGATCCCCTACGTTTGCCCACGTTTTTGCACGTAGACAGCACGCAGAAGCACGTACGGCGGGTTGGGACCGTAGCTTTACGGATTTGCCCACGTTTTTGCACGTAGACATCACGCAGAAGCACGTACGGCGGGTTGTGACCAAGGCTTTACTGCCGTTAGACGAGAAATATGACCTTTCACACCCCTTTCTTTTAGCCAGACGGGCCACGTCAGAACATACAGGCGCGCAGTGATTATATTTGTCTTGGGCTAATAAACACGTCCTACCCCTGCAAATATAACCCCGTAAAGGTGTGAACCAAACACACACACACACACACACAAATATGATTGTTTCTTCTCACAAAAGCGATGAACCTTTATCATTTCGGTTTTCGGTGTATCATTTGAGGATGAGCAGCTACAACAGATAATAAAAATTCATTTGATATTTCGTATAATTACGTTCAATTGAAGTGTGATAAACATAGTTAACACGCGTGGGTGGAGCTCGCAATGGGTTGTTTGTTACGTCAACACAGGGTGATATATTCGACTGTTTATCGCTTCTGCGTATTTATTACCCGCAGTTCAGACGTTATCGTGCATTCCCTTTGTAATTCGTCATTTCCTAATGCACGGGGTAATACTACAAGAGGATTGCTAAGCCTCCATGAATTACTGAGACAAATCAACTTGTCGTTTTGTATTTTATGACCTACATTCTTGGACTGTGAGTCTCTTGGTGGCCTCCGTCAGTGTAGGGCCGAGTGACGTGTTTGCTGCATTGTTCGTGCCGGCCCCTCCTACCAAAGGCCGCGCCTATCAAGTGGGTTGACGTGGGTTGACTGAAACAACAACCGGTCAGAAAGGTGTATAAAAGGGGGAGACCAAGAGTCACGCCCCGCCACCAGAACAGAAGTCGCCACATCAGGAAACAACTTCGTCTCGTCTACAACTTTTTCAGCGGTTTCAGCGATGGCTACTAGAAGTTTTCTACTTTGCACGTTTTCGCTTCTCGTAGCAGGTGAGTGCTTTAGCTTTGTCGTGTTAACTCTAGGTTTAAAAAATTTAGAACCCCCCTCTCTTTCTATCTACAGGAACGTTTTGGTATTTGTGTTTCCTGAAGGAGTGACCTAATAGTATATAGATCTTTTGCACCTTACACAGAAGGGCCGTATAGAATTGATATAGGGAAATTTTGCACTGTACCAGACACGATGACTGTAGTACTCATGGTCTATGGCTGAAGAAAAAGTCGCTTGGTTTCTCAAACATCAATATATACTTCCAATATTGGGGAATAAACTAGGTCTTCTAGAAGAAAGAAGTTGAAGGAAAATTCTGATTGTAGATTCTGGCTCGAACGTTCGTGTTCTACACGTGTTCTACACGAACGTTAAATGCAAGAAAGATTTGCTACGACCTTCTGAAAAATATCCCATCTTCGTATGGGTAGTTGAGATTTAAACTGGAATTGGTACTCTCTACTTGGATCTTTGTGTTTAAGAAATGTGTAGAAATCGGACGAAGAAGCTGAATAGTGCGGCATAGAATTTTATAGCCTAGCTGCTGTTACAAGACATATTTTAGCTCCCAAGCCTTTATCCTATCTATTTGACAGAGTGCTCAACTCGGAACCAAGAGGTCCCGGGTTGGAGTCTTGACATGTCACCAACCTTGTGCCCTTGAGATAGGCACTTTACATGACTTTCCTCACTTAGCTCAGGTGAAAATGAGTATTGTATTATCCCCCGTGTTGGTGGCGGCATTAATATAAGTTGAAAAAACTTGAGTGTGCCGTCACCACGTCTTGTGATTACATGTTGGAACATTAAAAATTGTTGAAACTTGGTTGCAAATTCGTAGCGCTGCGAGTCTTTTAAAAGCGTTAGCACTTAAATATATGTGTACAAAATTCTTGTGGGGGGGGGGGTGATGGTGATTTGTCTGTTTTGTGTTAAAACACGAAAACATTGTCGAGTGGCTTGGTGTTATTTCTTTTGAGTTTTCACAATAAATACACAGCTACATAGACTCGGTATGCGTACACCCTGGTTAGTTTATGTCCGCTCCTACAGCCACTGGTTGGTGTTAGCGACTGTGGGAGCCGACGTAAATTGACCAGCCTTGTACCCAGGCTAACAGCTACAAAGTGTTGGTCGATATATAGTAGTTATAGGAGTAGAAGGCGAAGTTACCCACTTTTTTCAATAAGGCCACAGCAAGTAAATTTTATGGATGACATCAGCGCGCATTAATTTTCGCCTGATTTGGGAAAAAAAATGTTGCCCTCTGACAGTGGTCAACATGCTAAAAATGAGCAAAGATGTCTGTTGTCATGCCGGAATGTAGATGGCAGATAACTAAGAGAGGAGACAAGAAAAGACTCCGATTTAATGTTTTGTTTCTTACTTAGATGCAGTGGTATGCGATACTGATACAATGATTGAGTCAAAAATTTTAAATGTAGGAACCTTGGCCTTTTGGGCACGCCTTGTTTTTTTTTTCGCCCGCTCGCATTAGATTCGAAGTCTGCGGAGGATGTCATCCATAGAACTTAATTGCTGTGGCCTAAGTTTTTTTTTTTTTAAATTAACAGGGTTGTAGTTTTCGTTAGTAAATGTTTTGAAGTTGTGGAAAGGTTTAGTGGCTTCTTTAAATATCTCTTAAATGCCACAGCAAGTAAATTTTATGGATGCTGTCCTCCAACTTAATAGAAGTTTTCAATAATTGTACATGGTTTTGGGAACATTACATGTACACGGCTACAGCCACATATAAAAGGAATAAAAAACCTCTACCGTGTTTGTTTAGGAAGCGCCGCCATGGTCCTCCGGGAGGAACTGCTGGCTGTTGCCGACTGCTACAGGATGGGCTGCCCGCGAATCTACGACCCGGTCTGCGGCAGCGACGGCAAATCCTACCCGAGCCCCTGCCGCTTCAGACAGGCCGCCTGCATCGTTAGGTAAGCAATAAAAATCAAATATCAGGAGCAGTATGAATGTGAATACAAATGATGCAGCTGGTTTTTTTTTGTTTGTAGGCCACACCAATTCAATTTGTTGGTCCTCGGATTCGCCTCTTAATTTTTTTATGATTTGCAAAAAAAAAAAAGATAATTCTACACGGGAGAACAGGAGAAAGCTTCTTTTTATGGTCTATTTAATACTTGTTTATCAGCTGCCCTAAATGATGTCTCGCCGAAAGATGTTTATTCTGCACTCAACAACTAAGTTTGATCTGTCGTGGTGCAGTAAATTACTGACCTTGTGGGGGTCATGGCAAGGTCAACAATGTTTGTTCAGTCAGGGCAGACCGCGTACTGTACACTTGTTTCGCCAAAAAGCAGTTACTCAAGCAACTGGATATGATTTTTGAAAACGTCAGACGTTTCAGCTAGTATCCACTAGCTTTCGTCAGTGACTGAGAGACCAGAGGGGAAAGCAGGTTTATAAGCACAACCTGTTGATTGATATGCAAATAAAGTGAAGACAAATTTTTGGAAGTCGAAAAAGGAACAAAAGTCAGACAAGTACACTTGTTTGACTGGGTAGGGCGACAGAAAGTTGATATTAGATGTCACGTTTACTGCAAAAACGTGCATGGCGAATTTGTCCTAGCTGTTCAGTCAGGGCAGATCGTGTCAACGTGCGAGTTACCGCGTACTGTACACTTGTTTGACTGGGTAGGGCGACAGGAAGTTGATTTTAGATGTCACGTTTAAGGCGAAATCGTGCATCGAATTTGTCCTAGCTCTTCGGTCAGGGCAGATCGTGTTAACGTGCGCGTTACCGCGTACTGTACACTTGTTTGACTGGGTAGGGCGACAGGAAGTTTATTTTAGATGTCACGTTTACCGCGAAATCGTGCATCAAATTTGTCCTAGATGTTCAGTCAGGGCATGGAGTTAAAAAAGAGATCCATGGTCAGGGCAGATAACGTGCGAGTTACCGCGTACTGTACACTTGTTTGACTGGGTAGGGCGACAGAAAGTTGATTTTAGATGTCACGTTTAACGCGAAAACGTGCATGGCGAATTTGTCCTGGCTGTTCTCTACTCACCGCCCCCCTCCCCATTCAATAGTGCCTCAACCCAGGATTGCAAACAAATTTGGCTCCTTTTATTTAAATTTTATTTCCAACATGCAAAAATATAATACATAGGGGTGACGAACTCAAGCAAAATGTTTATATTCACGTCACCACTAGACATAAAATAATAATTACATCACAATACATGGGTATCGTCCAGGTAACAAGAGAACAGAGTTTAGCTATTACGACATTATATAAATGAATACAGAAGTATAAAACAAAGATATAGCTGTGTAATAATGAGTATTTGAGAGTTGACTTTAGATGAAAGTAATTTAGCCCCTTCATCTGATCTTACCGAGCTATATAAAGTAGCAAATTAGTAGATGTCTACAGTTTTACGATATTCAATCGCAGAACCTGTATTGTTTTAACGGGCGTTTTAGAACGCAGCCATATTAGATTTTGACGTCATGTAGGCGCCATCTTATTCCTAGATGGGTTTTGACGTCACAACTGCGCTATCTTGTTTCCGTTGAGGTCTTGGGTGCTATTTTCAATATATTTTTTTGGCATCACAACGTACATACATTCGCAGTAGATTGAGGTATATTGTTGTTGCCATTTTGAGTAAATTTTAATAGTTATTATTTTAAATCATTGTTTTTCAGTGTGACTGACCCCAAAGCAGAGGAACTTACCATTGTCCACAAGGGGGAGTGCAACCCAGAGCCAACCATCGCTGAGGAACAACAACAGGCCCAGATCAGTGACGTAGATACCTGTTACGATGCCCCCTGCACTTTTATTTACATGCCAGTTTGTGCCAGCGATGGCAAGACTTACCCGAACGAGTGCGTGTTCGGACAGGCGGTGTGTGCCCACAGGTACGGACATCTCTTTACACAAAGCTGTTGTAAAAAAAGGCACGGTGTAAATAATACTTAAGTCTTCTAGACACGATCATTAATTTGTAGACAAAACTACGAACATGATAGAAACGTGTTGAATACAGAAACGCAGGGTTATTCTCTTAAGAACAAAATCATGGTATTCTTTGAATACTGAGTTTTCTAAACATTTCCATTGATTTGTAGGTATCGTTGCGCAAATATTGCTATGATAATGATTTCACGTACTTATTACACCTAGTGTTAAAAATAATAACAATAAAATATTCTTTTAGTTGGCTTCTTAGAGTACAATGTCTTACTGAAGCTATACAATGTCTTATTGAAGGTCCTCATTATTGCAAGTTTTCAGTCAACGATAGATAATACGGCACTAGCATTTTCTAATATTGTGCCTCTAAAGGTCCTTTGTTTTTCTGAATCTTGGTCAGTAATTGCACAATAAAAGTCATGCATATGCTTGCCCCTTTTTTGTTTCTTCGCAAAACGTTTGTTTTGTAGATTGTTGTTTGCATTCGTAACTTTTAAACTTTTTTTCTTACAGTGTGACAGATGCCTCAGCACCAAAACTTACGGTAGTCAGCCAGGGCCAGTGCCCGGAAACCGAAGACGAAAGCGCCAAGAAAGAGGAGCAGCAAGAACAGCAGGAGGAGGAGGTGGTGGATATTACGACATGCTACTCCATCGCATGTCCCCGGATGTACGCGCCGGTTTGCGGCAGTGACAGGAAGACGTATTCTAACATCTGTGTGCTGGCGAAGGCAGCCTGTGTGGTCAGGTATGTGGAGGACATTACTGCAACATTCAAGCTCCTGTTCTGAAACGACATAAACTACTTTTTTTTTTTATTCCAACATGTAATCACCAGACGTGGTGACGACACACTCAAGTTTTTTCAACTTATATTAATTCCGCCACCAACACAGGAGACAAATACATGACAGGACAATACTCATTTACACCTGAGCGAAGTGAGGAAAGTCGTGTAAAGTGCCTTTCCCAAGGGCACAAGATCGGTGGCATGTCAGGACTCGAACCCGGGACTCGAAGTTCCGAGTCGCGCACTCTGCCGCTACGCCACACGACCCCACACATAAACTACTTATTTGCATCATCCTTATCTTGACTTGTCTAACATTAATTTTGTTTCCTTTTGGACTTTGTCTTCACATGTTCCCGCGTCAATCAATAGTTCGTAATTATAAACCTGTTATTCTGACAACTCTCCAGTATCACTGACGAAAGGTATAGAGTCGCTTGAGTAACTGTTTTTGACGTATCTTATTACCTGAATGTCTAGCCTTCACCGATGTACTGCAACATGTACTTTTCTTAGGTACGTCACCCTATTGAGAGATAAACATCAAAATATTATAATCATATATACATAGCTGTAGGGTTTAAGCTTTTTTCAACACAATCAAGGCTTAAACTCTTCAAATATGGATACCACCAACACAGATGAGATTTCATTCGAAAATATCATAATTTAAAGAATGTAATTTCCAGGAAATGACACGTGTTTCTGAATAACCAGATCCTAGAAGTATTAAAATCAAACAAACATTGTATCCATCCGTCTTCAAAATCCTATATTCATCTGTCTGTCATTGCTATGAACGTGGAAAAAAATAATGTTACACTTTTTGAACCAAGATTCAGCCTTCGTAAGGACGGATGGCCCACTAATTCGACCACGTGACCTAAGTGGGTCAAAGGTTACCGGAAGTCTGACTTTACCACAATGTTTTGCAGTGTTGAGGACCCTGCCGGACCGGAACTCACCATCGACCACAAGGGCGAGTGTGGCTCCACTTCCGAGGAACCTATCCCTCAGCTGATCGAGACCAAGCCCAAGAAAGAGCAAAAGGGAGAAGAGGTCTTAGACATTGAGACCTGCCAGTCCACCATATGTCCCCGGCTGTACCTGCCGGTTTGCGGTAGTGATGGGAAAACCTACCCGAACCTGTGCCTCCTAGCGAAGGCAGCCTGTATTGCCAGGTACGTTAGACTTACTAGATATATAGGAAGTACTATTATATTTATGTTTGCCAAAGGAAAACATATTATTATTGCTCAGTTTCTTCCTTTTCTTCTCCAAACCATGGTAGCTAGTGTTGGGTTACATCATGTTGCAATTTTATAGCAGGAGGGATTTACACTCCTGTCTGGCTACATATATGAATGTGTTAGAGAAAGGATTAACAGATTATACCATATGCGAAGGTAAACATTATGCTTTTGCTTTGCAAATGTTACCTTTCTCGCTCCTTTTATTGTTAAGTGCGTGGCAGCTCAACTTTCATTTATTATTGGTTGCGTGTTTGAACCTGGGGCTTTTATAATCATACCAACAGTGCAACATTATCTCTTCTAATCGTCCTGTCAATATCTATTTCCAAACTCTTTTTTTTTTAATTCTGTCGTATGTTTTGCAGTGTCGAGAACCCTTCTGCACCAGAACTAACCGTTGACAGTAAGGGCGAGTGTGGTTCCAGCGATCCCGTCCCTCAGTTGATCGAGACTAAGCCTAAGAAAGAGCAAAAAGAAGAAGTAAAAGAGGTTTCCAAGAAGGGAGAGCAGCAACAACAGCAAGAAGACGTCGTGGACATTGAGACCTGCCAGTCCACCATATGTCCCCGGCTGTACTTGCCGGTTTGCGGCAGTGATGGGAAAACCTACCCGAACCTGTGCCTCCTGGCGAAGGCAGCCTGTATTGCAAGGTACGTTAGTACTAGTATATATTTCCTTTTTTGGCGACGCCTCAGGGGAAGCCTAGCGTAGGGTGCAGTATTGTGTGCAGTCTGCAAGAATTCTAGGAATTGTACAGGAATTCTATCCACCGGTATGGAATGCCCACAGGAATGTCTCACAGCTCTGGAATTTTGCTGACACACATCTATGCCCACATTCCTACTTGTGAATTTCCTGGAATTCCTGGACAGGATCATCCTATTGATATTGACATTGTACTTATTAACAGGATCATCATGTCAAGAATGCAACAGTTTTTATTAACATGTTTTTGACAGGATTCTGTCAATAGCTATTTCTAAGCCATTATGGTATGTTTTACAGTGTCGAGAATCCTTCCGCACCAGAACTAACCGTTGACAGTAAGGGCGAGTGTGGTTCCAGCGATCCCGTCCCACAGTTGATCGAGACCAAGCCTAAGAAAGAGCAAAAAGAAGAAGTAAAAGAGGTTGCGAAGAAGGAAGAGCAGCAGCAACAGGAAGAGGTCTTAGACATTGAGACATGCCAGTCCACCATATGTCCCCGGCTGTACTTGCCGGTTTGCGGCAGTGATGGGAAAACCTACCCGAACCTGTGCCTCCTAGCGAAGGCAGCCTGTATTGCAAGGTGCGTTAAACTGGCCATATATAAGCAGTATATATATATATGTATCATTTTTGGTGACGCCTCAGGGGGGACCCTAATGGTGCAGTATTGTGTGCAGTCTGCAAGAATTCTAGGAATTGTACAGGAATGGAATGTCCACAGGAATGGCTCACAGCTCTGGAATTTTGCTGACACACATCTATTTCCACATTCCTACTTGTGAATTTCCTGGAATTCCTGGACAGGATCATACTATTAATGTTGGGGAAATTACACTTTTTAACAGGAACATCATGTAAAGAGTGCAACACTTTTTATTAACATGTTTTTGACAGGATTCTGTCAATAGCTATTTCCAACCTTATGGTATTTTTACAGTGTCGAGAATCCTTCTGCACCAGAACTGACCGTTGACAGTAAGGGCGAGTGTGGCTCCAGCGATCCCGTCTCTCAGTTGAAGGAAACCAACCCTAATAGAGGACAACAAAAAGAAGACGCAAAAGAGGTTGACAAGAAGGGAGAGCAGCAACAACAGGAAGAGGTCTTAGACATTGAGACCTGCCAGTCCACCATATGTCCCCGGCTGTACTTGCCGGTTTGCGGTAGTGATGGGAAAACCTACCCGAACCTGTGCCTCCTGGCGAAGGCATCCTGTATTGCAAGGTACGTTAGACTGGCTATGTATAAGCAGCATATTTTCTTTTTGGTGACGCCTCAGGGGGGACCCTAATGGTACAGTATTGTGTATAGTTTGCAAGAATTGGAGGAATTGTACAAAAATGGAATGTCCACAGGAATGGCTCACAGCTCTGGAATTTTGCTGACACACATCTATTTCCACATTCCTACTACATGTACTTGTGAATTTCCTGGAATTCCTGGACAGGATTATCCTATTGATATTAGGAAAATTGCACTTATTAGAATCATCCTGTCAAGAATGCAATAGTTTCTATTAACATGTTTTGACAGGATCCTATCAATGGTATTTTTACAGTGTTGAGAATCCTTCTGCACCAGAACTGACCGTTGACAGTAAGGGCGAGTGTGGTTCCAGCGATCCCGTCCCTCAGTTGATCGAGACCAAGCCTAAGAAAGAACACGAAGAAGAAGTTAAAGAGGTTGACAAGAAGGAACAACAACAACAACAAGATATCACGATGTGCAACTCCATTATCTGTCCCCGGTTGTACCTGCCAATGTGCGGTAGTGATGGGAAGACCTACCCGAACTTCTGCCTCCTGTCCAAGGCAGCCTGTATTGCAAGGTACGCCAGATTTGCTTGATAAAGGCTGCATACATTTGCTTCAGAATGTTTCAATACCCATGACAATTTGATTGGTTGCCGAGTAAAACCTCTTACGCATGTATTGCAAAGTTCTTTAGTCACGGCCACTTTTTGAAGACGAGCAGACGTTTCGATGACCGTCTGACATCTTCATCAGGGTTAATATGACTGGTTTACTGTCACTATGTGTTGCATTGTGCAGTAAACCAGACATATCAGCCCTTATCAATATGACAGCTATACTGAAGATGACAGAAGCTAAGGTCTTAGAAACGTTCGCTAGTATATAAAAAAAGTGGTTGGTAATAAAGAACTTTGCTATCCAGCCGTTCAACCAACCTGATTAAATCAAGCACGGATCTTATGTGCGTAAATGATTTCATCAGGTTGGTAAATGATTGAATATTAATTTCTTTTATTCACAACTACAGCATTCGTTTAACATGAGCAAACGTTTCGTTGACCACCTGTAACCTTCATCAGGGTTTACTGTTCACTGGAGCTAGGTGTTACATGGTTAATTGTGCACTGGAGCTAGGTGTTACATGGTTAATTGTGCACTGGAGCTAGGTGTTACATGGTTAATTGTGCACTGGAGCTAGGTGGTACATGGTTAATTGTGCACTGGAGCTAGGTGTTACATGATTAATTGTGCACTGGAGCTAGGTGTTACATGGTTAATTGTGCACTGGAGCTAGGTGTTACATGGTTAATTGTGCACTGGAGCTAGGTGTTACATGGTTCACTGTGCACTGGAGCTAGGTGTTACATGGTTAATTGTGCACTGGAGCTAGGTGTTACATGGTTCATTGTGCACTGGAGCTAGGTGTATCTGTAACGATGCAGTCCCAAGCGTAAACAATTGTGATATTCATAGATATTGTTACAACATAGTGTTACATGCGGTCACCAAAACGTTGGCTCATGTACGAATGTTTGTGAATAAAAGAACTTTAATATTCACGGATTTTATGTGTTTTACAGTGTCGAAAATCCTGCCGGTCCAGAACTGACCATTGCCAGTAAGGGCGAGTGTGGCTCAAGCGATCCCGTCCCTCAGTTGATTATATCCAAGCCCAAACAACAGGAAGAGGAGGAGCCCGTTACGTCGTGCTTCAAGCCAGGCTGTCCCAGGATCTACCTCCCGGTCTGCGGCAGTGACGGAAAAACTTACTCCAACACCTGCCTGTTCCAACAAGCCGCCTGCGCAAGCCAGTAAGTGGACATATCGCATATTCATTGAATGTGGAATATCTCATCATTAGGTAGCTTTTGATGATATTGTATGCGATTAAGCTCTGTGATAGTTTGGTATCTGTTTGTGGCAAGCCGCCTGCGCAAGCCAGTAAGTGGATATATCGCATATTCATTGAATGTGGAATATCTCATCATTAGGTAGCTTTTGATGATATTGTATGCGATTAAGCTCTGTGATAGTTTGGTATCTGTTTGTGGCTGTATTGTTTGGTATCTATTTGGACCAAAAAGCATTGATGCTACACTTTCGTCGGTACAACCACGTGTTTAACAAGAACCGATGTTTCGATGACCGTCTACCGTCTCTTTCAGGGCAATAATGACTGGTTCACTGTGCATTGACGCTAGTGAACCAGTAAAATACAACTTCATTGCACAGTATACCAGTCATAATTGCCTTGATGAAGATGGTAGACGGCCATCTAGACGTTCTTCGTTCATTTTGAATGCTAAACATGTTTAAAAGTGAAAACTTTCGCTCCAACACTGATTGTTCTCAGCTAGAGCTTCGACCAGTCACGGGTCTTCTTCACTAGACTGACCCAGTGAAAATTGTCACGTGACTTCTCTGAAGTGTGAGGTCAATACTAGGTCAAGGGTGTCTAATAAACTATGTCGGCCCCCGTCACGACTAACAATTGGTTGCGAATAAATGACTTTTTTATTGTATAACAATATTATAATAATAAATAATAATATTTTTCACCATACATGATGACGACACACTCAAGTTTTTCCAACGTATTTCTATGCCACCACCAATGCATGGTGGTGGCATAGAAATAAGCATGGGCAACAGACATACTCATTTTCTCTTTAGTTAAGTGCGGGGAATCCGTTGCTATTCAATGTACAAGGAAGTTCTGCACCTCTTCAACGTCACAACGATGTTTTGTATAACGTCTAGATAAGTCTGATTCAATTGACCATGTTCTGTTCCAGGACTGCCGATCCCTCAGCACCTGAGCTGACGATCGTCAGTAAGGGAACATGTGATGAACAGGAGGAGCAGCAGCAGCGCAACAAGCTGCAGAAGGCCATCGGTAAGAACTATTTTCCTTTACAGAATCCTGACAGAATGCCGCGCTGATTTAAGACAAACATTGATAACATTATGAAAAACTGAAACTGAGTCAAATTTTGAGTTGGAGAACACTTTAAGTTTTTCATAATGTAATTTACCAACTGAGATGAACTTTCATGCAAACTTTGATAACATTGTCGAGATATAGCTAAACATGCTGCAAACATGAACACAACAAAGAATTGTTGTTTGAATACTATTTCAGCACCAAGGACGGAGCTTTTCTTATATGTTTTAACTCCCGCCGCAAAAGTCGTTATTTTTCCGATTTTTGAATATGTCCACACGACAGACAAAAACAGTTTCGGAACTTAGTTTGTAGCTGATACTTACGGTATAGATCTCAAATGTGATGTCTCCATGTAACCCTTTGCGTTCCTTGTTTCTCTGTTTCTCCAGATTTTTGTTCCACAAGCCTTAATTTTTTTTCCATTATTTTGCCGCAGACGATGTAGCCCACCTCCTGCGGCAGATTGAAGAAGAAGAGCCCGGTCAGCAGCAGGATCAGACGGAGGACCCGGTCCTGGTCTGTCTGGAGAAGGTTTGCGGGAGGAAGTACCTGCCGGTCTGCGCCAGCGACGGGAAAACCTACCACAACACCTGCCTCATGGACCAGGCCAGCTGTGTGCTCAGGTAGGCCATATCAGTTGGTCTCCCACTCTCTTTCTCTGTCTCTGTCCTTCTCTCTGTCTCTTTTTCTGTCTCTCTCTCTGTCCCTCTCTGTCTCGCTTTCTTTCCCTGTCTCGCTCTTTCCGTCTGTCTCTCTTTCTGTCCCTCTCTGTCTCGCTTTCGTTCCCTGTCTCGCTCTCTTTCCCTGTCTCTGTCTCTCTTTCTGTCCCTCTCTGTCTCGCTTTCTTTCTGTGTCTCGCTCTCTTTCCCTGTCTCTGTCTCTCTTTCTGTCTCTTTTTGTCTTAATCTCTGTCTAACTGTCTCTGTCTCGCTCTCTTTCGGCTGTCTCTGTCTCTATCTTTTTCTCAATCTATCAATCTATATAACTCTATACAGTATAGGATCTAATTCTTAACATTTTACACCTAATTATAACATCATCGTCAACATCTTTAGGCCACCTTATATGTTGCTATAATGTACTGCCTTGTCTTGTTAGCAGGGCAAGCCCTTTGTAATAGCCACAGGCTAGTTGGGCTGCCCTTGCTGTGAGGGTGAACAGCCAAACCAATAAATGAATGAGCTTTATAAGAAATAAATACTCAATTCTAAGCTAAGACTACTTGTAAAAACGCTGACGTTGTTACCGCCGGGGGAGGAGACATCCTTCCGCGAAAGGGTTTTGTGAGAGATTTAGATTTTCATGTTCGCAGCTGTTTCTCGCGTTTGGGTGGACGGATTCTTTTGAGACTCGGTATATGTTTTGCTATTGGGCTGCAGATGATGCACGTTCTTTTGTTTTTATTGTATATGTGTTTTCGGGCGTGAAAATGGTGCCTTTTGGTGGCCCCCAAACACTCCTTTGAGCGTCAAAGTGGTCGCGACCGTTGACCTTTGGCGTGTTTAAGCTATTCTCGGTCTGGTCCACGTATATGACCCCTCACACGGAGGGGTGTCCGGTCTCGATAAATTCTTTGTTTAAAACCCTATATAAATATGCAATTAAAAGCCCGGAGGTATAAAATCTCAGATTTTACTTGTATATTCTAAATTTATCTGTTCACTTTTGCAGTGCGGTCCAACCCGACGCCCCTGCCATCACCGCGGAGTACATCGGCGAATGTGGTAACCCCTGGCCCATTACGTCATGAGCGCAGCAGAACGTAACAGATGTTCTGTCAGCACTGTGGATCCGTTGTAAATCCTTAGTTTTAATTCACGTTTCTGTGTGGTTACTGCGTCAAAGACGCTTCTGTTGATGACCTTTTTTATTGTATGTAATTTTGGCTTTTTTTATTTCTTTCTATGCAGTTTTTTTTCTATGTTTAGAAAACAAATATTGTAATAAATGAAACCTTTCTTCTGGGACACATGCTTGTATCGTTGATTTGCAGTTTATTTTACTGAGGGCTAATAGTAGTCCTGGTAACTGGGCAATATACAATAAAACCGTTACAATGCTCATTCAAATGCGTAACAGAAGTACAATGTAGCCTGTACAATGATCAGTGTTACGCCGAAGGTTGGTTATACCGGCTATACCGAAACGGATATAGACCTAGATTTGATTTGATTTGATCTATTAGACTGTACAATACATATGAATACAAACACACAAATGTTTTGTGCATTTCTGGCACTTTATTAGCAGTTGTACCACTCAGACCGCAGGTGTTAAGAACGCCCCCATACGGTTGACCTCATACTGCAGTGCTTGAGTGGAGGGGGGGCACCTACTTGGCGCATGCTCCGTTATGCACAACAGTGACTGGCGGATCATCCGGGTACTCATATCTGGAAGAAAAGATAATTAAAAATTAATAAATTCAATAGATCGCCTCGTTGCATGATGATTCGTATAAAATAAAGGTAAAAAGGTAAGGGTAGTCCCATAGCCATTTTCAAGGTCGTAGGGGCATTCACCAGTTTCCCATCCCCAGAATGCAATGCGAAAATA